CCTGTCCGCCTCGGCGACGAGGGAGGGGCGGAGCTGTTTCCTTTGGGGCTCCGCCCATTCGGCCCGGCGTCCTTACTGCGCCTGCGCGCTCCCGCCCGGTCTCCATCTTGGAATTGGGAGGAAGAGAGAGGGAGACGGGGACGAGAGCGGGTCTGTGGTGCGGAGAGAGGCTGAGAAGGAGAAGGCAGGGGGAGAGGGCGCGTGGACCATCAACATCGCCTTAGCTACAGTCTTTCGTCTACCCTCGGGAGACAGGAGGGGAAAGGGAGGAGGCCAGGCCGGGAGTGAGGGCTGTCACCCTCGGACCCCAGCGTGAGAGGAGCCGTGCGGCCGGACGGTCTCTGGGTGGGCCCCCTGTGGGTGCCCAAAGACCTGGGGCTCAGGCCCCTGGGTCCCAAATCTCCAGGCTTGTCCCCTCGCTTTTTATATACCCAGGTATCAGCTCTCCTATTTCGGAGATCCGGGACTCGGATCCCAACCTCTTTAACCCTGGGTCTCTGTTTTATTAAATTTCATATATCTGGGGTTCAGGCCCCTGCGTGCCTCAGAATCCGGGGTTCATTCCCCAGGCGTTCAAATATCGGATTCATTTTGTCCCCTTGCAAGTATACAGGGTTCAGACCCCACGATCAGAAATCCCGGATTCAGCAACTGTCGCCCTCGAATTGGGGAAGGACTGGACCGCGAGGTCAGATCAGGTTGTCACCCCCTCCCCTCCAGGGGAGGTTTCCCAGGCCCGCCCCTCAGGAAGGGCGAAAGCCGAGGAAGAGGTGGCAAGGGGAAAGGTCTCCTTGCCCCTCTCCCTGCTTGGCAGAACCGCTGGAGGACCCCAGGCGGAAGCGGAGGCGCTGGGGCACCATAGTGACCCCTACCAGGTGAGACATGGGGTGCAGGGGCGCGGGTCCCTGTATCTAGCATTGAAAAGGCTGCTCCCTTCTGAGATGTGCCTGGGTGGGCCCTCTCCTCAGGGTGGGAAAGGAGATCAGCCTCTGGCTAGCCTTGTCTTCTGTTGCCACCCTCTTCCCCTTCCTCTTCTCTCTATTGTGCCTGGTTAATGGGGGACTTCAGATGACAGGGTCTCTGATGTCAGCTGGGTTCACACCCTAGGGTGTTTGTTTTATTTTCGTTTTGGGGTACCAGGGATCGAACTCAGGACCTTGCACTTTCGAGACCCTAGGGTGCCTGAGCTAATCAGATGGGTTCGAACCTTTCCATCTTCTCCCTGTTCATTGCCCCTCTCAGTCACCTCTTCTCCATGATTATGTCCCTTTTCCTGTCTGCTCAGGGCCTTTGATCCCCATGCCTTTGGTTACCATGGTGGGTCTGCTTCTCTGCTTTTCAGACCTGGTCTGGTTGGATTTCTTATCCTTGCAAGGGTGTGTGTGTGAGTGTGTGTGTGTGAGTGAAGTGGAATGCTTGGCAGTATTTTTCCTCAGCTAGTTACCTTCCCTTTCTACTTCTTGCTGTGATGTTATAAATAATCTTATACACTCTCAAGGAATCTGCCCCTTAAAAAGTACTTTCGTGTACATTCTGAATCTCATGTGACATCCTCCATTCACCCTGTGGGAGCTCTTTTATTGCTGTCTTCCCATTGTACAGTTGAAAATGGTGAGGCCCAGAAAGGTTGCCCAAGGTCACATAATGGCAGAATCCACATTTTAATGCAAGTTCCCCCACCAAGTTTTGGCACAGATTCATATTTGTTTTTTGCCATCTCTTTTTTTCTGAGCCTGGATTTGGTCAAGGGTCCATAGGAGAATGAGTTAGGGTGAGGTTTAGAAATGGTGAAGGGTGCAAAGTGAGTTTCCTTTCCAGGAGTGCCATACTCAGAAGCTTTTCCTGCTGGGAGGCTCTGGCTTCAGTCTCTCCTGAATGGATTTTTTTTTTTCCTACTGTGACCTTCATCTTTATTCCAATCCCAGACTTTGGCCTGGGTTCCTGAAAGGGCTCTCTTTGATAAACGATGGCCATAGTGGTTTCTCTCTGAAGTTAAAGCCAAGCTGGGGTGGGGGTGAGGTAGAGTCCCCAAAGGATTAAAGCTTTGGGGCAACCCTGAAAGCAGGAAAGGGGAAAAAAAATCCTTCTTGTGTCAAGTGTCTCCATAGTGTTCCTAAGTGTGAGATCTCATTAAAATCTCAGAACAGCCCCATGCTGTAATTTAAAGGAGATCAAGAAGTAGAAGGAACTGAAAGCCCTGTTGCTATGCATTGCAGATGGGATGTACCGCTGTACAATGTAAGGATAGATTTCCTCATCTGCGGAGTGTAGATAATGCTATTCATTTTAGAAGGTGGTTATGATTTAGCAAAGGTCTTGGTATTTGCTTCAGTGTTTGTTATTGTGAGGAAAGTGACCTGAGTGGTGCATTGCAAGTTCCTGGCACACCTGTCATGTGGCCTGGAGTCCTGGCCTAGTAATCTTGGACTCAATGCTGGTAAAGAGGTCAGGAAGATTCCCTTAGCAAGTTATGAGCACCTGCCTTTGTGTGTGGGTGTGTGGTGCTGGTGAGGGGTGCTTGGCACTGTTGCTGGCAGAGAAGAGAAGAGGCCCTGCTTCCTAGCAGCCTAGGTGCTGCTGAGGGCTGGGCTGAAGGCAGTCAATCAAGCTCCCAGGCTATTTTGAGCCCTCTGCACCCTGGGGGCCCTCTGGAGAGTCAGGCTCCCTTCTTGCCCCCAGCTTCCAGTTGGAATGAGGAGACAAAATTAACAACACAACAGGAAACAATGCGTGGCAGAATATAATTACATGCTAAAATTGTTAGGTGCTTTGAAGTAGCTAGAACTCTGCATGGGGAGTCCAACTCTGCTGAAGTTCTTTTGCGCCTGTATCCTGACAAGTGCTTAGCCAGGAGTCTGTCCTGGAATCTCTTGAAGTCTTGGTTCTGTTACCCTGCAGGGACTTCATCTGGGCATCTGGCTGGAATGGTCAGGAGAGGCTTCTTGCAGGAGGGGCTGAGCATGCAGGCCTGACTAGGGAGAAGCTTCTGATCTCTGACCTTGGAGCTCTTTTTCCTCCCTGCCTCAGTGACTTCATCTGGGAAATGGTGATCCTTCTTCTGCCCTACTGGATTCATAGGGCTGGTCTGAAAGCATGGTGGTGGTGAGCCAGCTCTTAGCACGTCACTTAACATTCCTGAGCCTCTCTGCATCTGTAGAACAGGGTTCACGATAGTGCATGCCTGGCAAGGTTGTGGCAAGGACTGAATGGCAGGTGAGGTGGTGTGAGGTGTTTACTGTCCATAGTGAGTGTGCATTGTTCATACCCTGCACATGTCCTGCACTTGTGTGTGCTGTGTATGCAGTTGAACTGGACAAGTAAGGCATTCGGATAAGAGAGAGGCCCTCAAAGCCAGATGCCTTTCCGTCTGAAAGTCCTGTCCTTCCCATTCTGGATCTCCCTACCACAGTGTCCCTACCCTTTTGAGAGTGAGTCTTCTGGCCCCCTCCAGGCCAGTAGCCACTTAAAACAATGGCCGGATTTCCAGCACCTCCGGCCTGGCCCTTTCCTGTTCTCTTGCACCGTGTGAGAGGTTGAGGGAGAATGGGGCCTCAGCACCGAGGCTGAACAGGAAGGTGCCTGGAAATCACTGGGGAATGGGACTTGCAGGATAGAACACATAGGGGTCTGGAGTTCAGCCTAGAAGGCAACCATTTATCCTTGAGGAAAGAAACAGGGGTTGTAGGGAAAGGGGAACTTGTTGAAGGCTGAGGGGGTTGGTGAGGATGCTTATCTTCCTAGAGTCTTCCTAGCACTTTTAGGGACTCCAAGGACCTGGCCCCCATGATCTGGTTGCCAAGGCAACTTCATTTTTTTAGAGCTTTAACGTTCCTCATCTCCCCTATCCTTCCTCGGCAGTGCCTCCCCCTCAGCAGTGAATGAGAGGAGGAGAAGGCAGGAACTTGAGGGGCCCCTTCCTTTCTCTGAGGACCTCATCCTTGCTCTAAAGCTCCTGTCTGCATTCTACAGGCCAGGTCCCACTCGCAGGGCCCCTGGGGGCCACCATGCCAGCTGGGGGCCGGGCCGGGAGCCTGAAGGACCCTGATGTGGCTGAGCTCTTCTTCAAGGATGATCCTGAAAAGCTCTTCTCTGATCTCCGAGAAATCGGCCATGGCAGCTTTGGAGCTGTGTACTTTGTGAGTTGGGCCTTGGGGGAAGGGAAAGTAGGGGTTGGGACGCTGTTTTGACCTTGTGACCCTGCATA